CAACAAGAAGAATGGTGCCCTGAGAAAGTGTCGCGTGAGTGCTAAGCACAAGGTTAGAAAAGAAACAAGTATCATGTGTGCAGGCTGTGGTGTGGCTCTCTGCAAACTTTCATGTTTCAATGTTTATCACACGAAGAAAAACAAATAAAGAGGTGTGGAAAAGCATTTATTGCATAAAATATTGTATTTTAATTAGTTCCCAAAAATTTCGTTTTTAAAAACCAATTTTTGTTGAAGTTGTATAGGAAAAAGTAACTACATGCATTTTAGCGACATAAGGTTTAATGGGCCTGCCAGGACAGGGGTGGGATTTAAATACCCTTCGTGCCAGTCAAAGAGTTAATTAGATAAGTATGGGGACAGCTTTACTAATATGCCATTGCCACAAACTTTTAGGTCCTAGGTACTCATTTGTTCCAACCTTGGATGTTGCAAACTCATTTGCTAATCGTTCTCAGTTATTCTATAACAATCGACCTCCAGAGAACGTTCCCTCCCTTCTGTCATCTTCAGAATTTCTATCCTTATCACCTCTTTCTGATTCTGGTATTTTTAAAGCCCCTAAACCATCTAAATCTTTTGGTTATGATAACATCCCTGGCTTACTATGGGTTGTTTTAATATACTTGTACCTGTCGTGAAACATATTTTTAATTGAATTATATCTCAACGGTATTTTCCTATAGTACAGAAGTAAGCAGACCCATCTTGATTCTTAATAATTTTTCCAAATTATTTTAATTTGTTATACATGACCATTTTTCTCAATACCTTAAGTTTAAATTAAATCCTGTCAGCATGGTTTCACAAAATCCACCAACACCAGTTTGGTAACTTATCTTGATTTTATTACCCATCTAGTCAGCTCTCACTTATTTTGATCTAACCTCTGCTTTTCACTTGTTCCCCACATCCTGCTTCTTCATAAGCGTAGTTGCTCTTAGATTTTCTGGTGGTTGTGTAAACAGGTTTCACATTTACCAACAGACAATCCTCTGTCCATATTTCTGGAACTATTTCATGACCTTTTGGAGTACAGTCCCATGTTCCACAAAAATCTGTTCTGTGACTTTTTTTTTAACATGTATGTTAATGACTCACATAACATAATTAAATACTGCATACACAGTGTGTCCAGATTCTGTTAGGACTGTGTTCATTAAAAATACAAGACATCAATTATTTTCAAAATTTCACTTTTTTTTTTTTTTATTATTCAAAAGAGTCTCCTTAATTAATTCATAGCTGGAATCGATTGAAAAGTTTTCAAAAACAGTCACTATACTCCTTATGTGGAATCACATTTAAAACCGCGGTACATTCCCTTTGGATATCCTGGATGGTGTCGTGACAGTCTCCTTTCATTGCCAACTTAATTTTTGGAACAACCAGAAATCTGCTGGAGCCACACAACATTATTATTACATTAATTGCCAGTATGTGTAATTGGCCTTGTAGCTGTTGACTCGGCACATAAATAGTAAAGAACTGAATTGAATTAATTAAAATAAATTGTCCTAGATACAGATGCATGGTGCCTGCATGTCTTCATGGCATGATGCATAGATACAGTGATAAAACCTGTAAATTTTTCATTGCTTGTGTTCAGTGTTGTGTTCATTTACATATGTGTATGTTCCCCTTCCATTATGATGTGTTTCAAGGCCCACCTTTTTGTACTAGGCTTCACCTTTGCTGGGTCCATCAGGCCTGCAAACAGGAGATAAAGTTTTGGCTTTGAATCAGTGCCAAGTTAAAGACTATGATACTTGGTACCAGTGCATCCAGTCTGCAGTAAACCATGCAAGTCCTGGCTACTGTGTCTCATCTGATCTTGTGAAGGAGCATGATGAGTCCATAGCAGGTAAGGAAATTACATTAGCCATGTTACAATATAAGGTAATACATCATTATAATTTATTTTGAACAGAATGCACCAAACTGACAGTAAGATGTTCCATGGATGGTGGAGATGACAGTACATACTCAGACACTTCCCACTGTCTCCATACCCTTGTACTCCTCTCCCGCTGACCTGTGTCATTTGCCAAAATTGCTCATTATTAGCAAAGGTTATTACTACCAATATTTGTGTGAACAGAATGACTAGATGCCTGAAGGGAGTATGCTGCAGGAGGAAGCATGATGTTTTGGGAAATTTCAATACAAGGAACTTCTTTTTGTGTAAAATACCCCTACAAAGTTACACTGATATCAGTGGAATCAGTAACTCATTCTTTCAGACTTCATAGATGCATCATTGGTAATTTTGGAATGCCTCCGAAACCCTTTTTGAAGGCTTCTTTTTCACTTAATGCAGTGGCTTGACAAATTTGAGGATATGAATTTCAGATAAGGATATGGACCTGTACATTTCACCATAGAGAACTTGGATCTGGGAACTCGGAGTGTAGGACTAGTCCATCTTTCAGGAAATGGAGCAGGTAGTGTGGGGCAAGTGTGGTAAAATGTGAAGTATTATAGGTAAATGCAGACAGGTTATAAAATGTTCAAAATTGTCTTCAGTAATCTCTGGTAAAAGTTTTAATGCAGCAACTCGCCATCTGTTGAAATTCTGAAGGAATTTAAAAGTAAAGTTAAGGTATCCCATTAACAGGCCGTGGAGGACCATAGGGTTGTGAGATGTTGAGGTTCCCACAGTTTCTAGACAATGAGCTCATAGATGGCGGCAAGGTTGTCAGCCTTTCGTGCCGGCCGCCCTTTACCCCCAAGAATTTCTGTTAGAGGCTGAGTCAACCCCAGGGCCATAGTGCATTTGGAAGAGTTAGGTCAATTCAAAAATCCAGTGACCTGATTGGGACTTGAACCCGCAACCTTCCGGCTGGTACCATAGTTCCTCAACCAACTACACTACTGCATGCCCACATCTGAAGGAATTCTAGAACATAAAAAAAAAATTTATTCCTCATGACACACTTGCACCAGGAAAGTGTGGGGAGTAATAACTGTGTTTTCCTTTTGGATTTTAAATTGTTCTTCTTGTGCTGCAAATGTACAAGAGAAGGGATTTCTGTGATCTTAAGGCTGTTGTCAAATTTCAAAGAACTGGAGTCCTGCTGGAATTACAAACTTTCCAAAACTTGGTAAAGTATGTTCATGGCTACTGCAACAAAAATAGACTCTTTATTTGTATATTCATCTTGCAGCAGAGACGTAACCAGAGCTTCTTACAGTTCCATATTTTTTAAATAAAGCCATCCAACCATTTGTTGCATGTGTAGTCATCACCAGAATGTGTTAACCAAGCCAGTGCTTGGCAGTGACATGGGGGATACAGCCACAGACAACAAGGTGATTCTATAAGCCTACTTTTATTTTTTCAAAGTAGAGAACACAGGCAAAATGTAATCTGTCATACTGACCTGCTCAGGGTATTTATGGAATGCTCGCACACTTCCCCCAGTAGTAAAAATTTGAGGAATAATTGAGTTATACATAAGAAAACAAGCTAAAATGGTAATAAAATATAATAATTTACACTCACTTCGTTAGAATGTGCTAATGTACAAAAGGGAGGTTTTGAAAACTTCACAAAGTCAAATTCAAACAAATGAGTGAGTTAACCCTGTAGCACTGCACCTTTCTCTGTTAGACTGGAAGACTGAACGGAGAGCTGGTTTAACCTCATTCCGCATCTTGAATTCACATACCACTATTGGCCAGTAGGGTGACTACAGCATTAATCAACATGCTGGCATGCTCTCAAGTCATAGGTTTAACATCTTCAAAGTAACATTCGACCAACACAGTTTCCCCACTCTACCTGATCTTGCTTTGCAATGTCTTAAACTGTTTTACTTGCCAACTTTGGAAACTACGTAGGATTATTGTTACAGCTGATAACTTTTGTAGGACTATAGAGGTTCTCACATCAGTCTTCTGCAATGTGAAGCCACAGTTTGGTACCTATCTATTAAACTGCATGGTGTCACATCGCGGAGGACTGTAATTTGAATATTAATGTGTTGAAAATATTTACTTATATATTTTAATTTGTGATGATGCTATTGTTATGCCGCAAATTTTGAGAAGGGAAATTTGACACATTGCCCCAAATGTTATGAGAATTGCAAAAGAGTTTCACATTGATTAGAGCAAGGATGGCAACACACAGACTGTGGAACTCGGTCAAGAATGTCTTAGTCAGGAGAGGTGCGTAATCACACAAGTGGGAAGCTCGCTTCAATAGGCCACTGGGGAGAACGAAGTTACCAAATACACAGGGATGAGACGCCACGGATTCGTCTGTAAGAAAAGAAGTTGAACCAATAGAAGACCACCACCCTTAATTAGGACAAAGGGAGGAGGTAACTTTCCTTTTGCGGAGCTGCTGTGCCAGCTGTTTTAGAATATAAAGGTGTGAAAAGAAAGGCTCTATTTTTTGGCTCTTCTGTTGATCAAAATGTAATATTTAGAAAAGTTTGCTGAAGGCCCTGTTTCGGCATGGGTTCAACAAGATGGTGGATGGTGGATATTGTTTGTGTCTCTACTGCAAGTAAGTCAATTTACTCATACTAGCCATGTTACTTAAACTTTATTGTAGTTTGTTAAACCATTGAAGTGCAATCTCCAGTGTACCCTGCGAGCATCGGGATGGGATAGGATAGAAACTGTGTAATGAGTGGTAGAGAATGAAGGAAGAGAGACTGACTCAAGTCATACACCCTAGGTGGGAGATCAGAATCGAAGTGATAACCATTCAATGTACAGATACTGTGTAGGCCCAACAGAATGTCGGCATTCTTACTACTGTAAATATGTGTGTAAATAGACCAGTGGAATTAGGGTAGGATGTAACGCAGACTTATGATTTACCTCCATGAACCGAACCCTTCCCAGACCAATCCGGAGCTATCCTAGTCCAGATGAAGGCAGAACTGACCCCAGGCAGCCAACGGCAGTCGTATCCAACGAAACAGTTTAAGGTTGAGGAGAATCCTAGTTTAGGGTAATTAAATGACACCCCAGTCCCTGGGGGTGTGACAGTTAGTGGGTAGAGGCGGGTCAGAACCTACACACCCGCTCTACGCCATTACAAAGTGGTGCCAGAGGTGGGATTAGCCAACAAAGGGATGGCTGACGAAGTAATTTAGTATTTTTTAACCACCCCTCTCATCACGGCAGTACAGGTATATAACATACTGGATACATTTTTTTATCATTTGCCAGCCATAAAATTCTACCAGCAATCATAGTGGCTGTATGGTTAAGGTAGCAGGTGTGCATCATTTTTTAAATTGTGTATACTATGGAGTCACGGTTTAAAATCCCATTTAGGAAATGTTTCTGCACATTTTTCATTGCTGCCCTACACACCACCATGGATATGGGGATCTGTCATTTAGCTAAATGCCTCCCCCATCCAGGTCATTCATTCTTTCATTTTATTTTTCTTCGAGTAATCCATAACAGTGATCATCGCCTAGGATATAGAAGATGTCCACATACAATAAAATAAGATACAATAATGGCCGCACAACAAGCAGCCTTGTCAGTTGGTAATACAGTAATACAAAGACATTACATCCTATTCAGTAATACAGTAATATGATACGTTATGCACATACAATTGCAAAATAATATACAAATGTAAAATAAGTGTGTAAGTTAATATAAAAATGTGACCCAAACAGCAACATAAATAAAATTTGATTTCATTTGTCAGACCACTCGAAGTATTCATTTATTGAGTATAAAGATTCCTGTAAAAAAATTTCTTAGTAACCACTTTAAACTTATTAACATTATATAGTAATTTCCTTATTGATTGATTGATCAGTAACTGTCAGATGACAGGTCCACAGTCTCTTCCAAAACAGTTCCTCCACTTAATGTGATCTTCTGTTTTTGGAAAGAGACTGTCCAGGAAAAGTGATAATGTGGTAGTTTTTCCATTTGCTTTCCACATCGCAGTGGAAACGTGCCGTCGCCGTTCAAACCACTCTGGTCACGCCTGTTGCTATACGAACTTGAACCATCTCGAGCATCATTTGTTCTGTGCTTCAAGTCGCTGCTGATGACGCTGCTTCCGGCATCAGTTTTTGGTTTTTGGTGTCTCTCTTCGTCTGATGCCTACCCTTTGACCTGTCCAGCAAGGGAGGCCCTGCCAGTAGCTACGCTACCGCTGGTATAGCTCTCAGGGTCCTTGGCATACTCAAACCCCTCACCACGATAAGGTGGAGACACCAACGAGGGGCAAAATGGCAAATGATTGAAAATCTTTATACCCATAAAGTAGGGACCTTTCTTGCATTCGGTCAAGTTAACCGAAGGCAAATACAAGTTAATGCTTTGTCTTGTATTTATCGTATATATCTTGCTGCTAATTACAAATTTAGATGCATTTTTTTGCTACCAGCAACAGCAAGGAGAATAAAAAGGTAAAATATTTAAACGTCTAAAAAGTCCCCGACAAGATATTTTGGGACTCACATTAAAAATAACACTTATAATTATCTTCTGCGTTACAAAAACGTTTTTGTTATTAACAGCATTTCCCCAAAAGGGAAGACAGAGTGAACATATGCAAAATATACCATCCATAAATGCTCTATCATTAAAAACAATTTGAGGGTTCTAATAGCAAAACAAGCAGAATTCAACGTAGTACTACTCTGGTTATATGCCCTTGCCAGAATAATGTCGAATCAAGTGTCACTCCCAAGAAATCAATGCAATGTGTGCTATTTATTTGCTTGTCCATGAACTTTAAAGTGGATTGGTCAGATTGGCTCATTTTTGCTTTAAAGTACATAAAATGAGTTTTTTTAGATTCAGTGCCAATGAGTTAACCTGAAACCAATCTACTATTTTCCCCAAAACAGTGTGGGAACTGCCGACTTT